GACAATATATGGAACCAAAGTTCCTTTATCAGTCGAGATGTCTATATTATCTTATTAATCTATATTTATGGATCAAATCATATCTGAAGATCGCTCTTGCTTCGTTTTACATCTATAACAATCGTTGCACTAGTCAACAAAGGTCTTCCTAAGGTTGCTGTTTCATTCTGTGATTTACTACTAGCCGTCAAACTGATAGAAGTCGACCTAAAGATGTAGCATCAGTTTCACTGATCTGTAAAACTTTCTTTCTCATATTGACTTAAACGCGCTCCACATACGATACACTCAAGTCTATAAATCAAAGTTCTTCCGATAGAAAAAAATCGTCAAAAAAAGTAAAATTGGTCTTTGGATGATGTTGAGGAAGAGAGAAGAGAGCAATCCCCATGACAATTTATTTTTACTCTAATTATCAAAAAGAGCTCTCTCCTCCTTTTGAAACCTCTTTGTTCATTAACGTGTTTTCTTGTGGTCGAAAATAGAATACAGACAGTTGTGAAAAATAATTTTTCACCTAAAATTATTTATCTTTGTAAAGGAAAAATAGTTTGACTTACTCTTAGAATTACTTCTGTTGAATTTTTGATACTGATGTCGAGTCAGTTTGATATCAAGTAAAAATAAAAAGTTAACTAAAGCTGTTTGTACATATATATATATATATATATATATATATAGTGAGAAATAATACGATAAATGAGAATAATTGGTAATGTAGCATCATTTTCGATATGTAGGTATCTACTTTCACTTTCTTTATCATTCTATTCGTTCAATAGTCGTCAATTTATTTATTGTAATTAAAGACGGGTTCAGCGGAAATTAGCTCGCAATTTAATTTGTTTTTCAAAAAATAAATCTGACTATCTTTTTATAACTAGCACTCCTTCATATTTCTCTCTCTCTTTCTCTTTTTTGTTTCTATTCGACATTTAAGAAAAAGAAGAAGATTTTGGAAGGTGGTGATTAATCACGAATAAAAATAAGATACATGTATCACCATATTTCTCTTCACGGATGGTGCTATTTTCAATTTTATGCCGTTTAAACTTTTTATCGAATAAAGTTAATTGAAATCGTACGATGATAACACCAACATATTCTTCATTTTATTTTCAATTTTAATACTCTAACAATGTGTACGTGCACAAAGTCTTCTTCACTTTTTTTTTTGATCTCTGTATCGTTATATTTATTGTTTTCTTTCTTTATATAAATTTTTTTTATTTCAAATGCATGTGTATGTCTATCACTATCATTACAGTCTTAAGCGAATACAACGAATTCTAATTCGTTTTACATGTTTTCACGTTCTTCGTCTTCTTCGACGTTTTTTTATTTTGTAAAATTCATTTCTTGTTTTGCTAACTCTTGCAAGATTTTTTTGTTACTCATAAATTGACTTAAAAAGAGAGAAAAAAACAATAAGTGCATACACTTTTGAATGACTATAATTAAAGTGCATATCTATTGGGTGTTACATTTAACATTGGAATTTTAATCACAAACGATAGTTACAGATAAAAACAGCTGATAGATTGAATGTTATTAAGGGCCACTATCTATACGAATCTCGGAAGAGGCCATTGCACACGAAATACATCGGCTGATGTTTCTTTTCGGTGATCTACTTTTTCGAGTAACTACACCAGCTCAAATTATTAAAACTTTTATAGTTTTAACTAAATCTCTAGTTATAAGCATTTATAACCACAATCTATTTGTTTCTAGCTATTAGATATTTGTTTGAGTTTCTAAAAATCACAATCATTCGAACTAGATCATGAGTTAACTGTAGTCGCTTTTTCGAAGACTATAAACCAAAGTTTATAGAAATCTTCTACAGAAAATATTTTTTGTACCAACATAGTATCTCATATAAATTGAAATTTCTTATAGGACTTTTTAGAGATTATCAGCAACAGCAATGTAAAAATTTACTGTAGAATAATCATGTCCTCCAACATGAGTTCGAACGGACTATATGATTGAAAAACGTTTCACATTTCTATGAATGATCCTTGTGAAAAGTAACTAATAAGCAGAAATCTGTCAATTTTTAGGTATTACATATTGTATAAATAAAGATATTTTTCTATCGATCGTCTTTTCACGATAAGATACTGTTGTTAAAAGTTATATTCTATCAGAATATCATCGTTATACCTGAAAATAGAAGAGGTAGCATAGTTTGTGAAGGTGATGTTATGAGTAAAATCGAAGTAATGTTTTGTTAGATGTGAGAATCTTTGTAATGTGACAGTAGGCATCCTTTTCTGATCTCAGAAAATCTAAGTAGTTCGTGGAATTATTGAACGACTAAAGTTTTTGAGAGTGATTTCTAATGTAGTAACGAGTCTTCTTCCGGCTTAGGTTACCGAAAAAAAGTGTATCGCTAGAGAAGAACCATTCATGACGTGGCCAGGTTTTACATAATATTATGATTAACACCGTCAATCTATATCCGCAATCAAAGGAAAGTTTGGCCGAAACTTTCTGAAGATTTCTCAATTGTGGTAGGCAACTTTCTCTGAACTTTTCCTCGCACATCATCCGGTGTATTTTTCTTGCAATGACTTCATAGATGAGACGTTGATTACGTCAAAATTCAATAAAACCTTCATTATATGATTACTGAACTTCGAATACAAGGAAAATGCAATCAAATATTTCATCATTCTTTACAAAACCGGCCATAAACAACAGAACAAAAAAAACGATTTGTGTTTTTTTTTCTACAATATCCACGCACCATTTGTAATTTTTGATAATTGAGTTTTCACTAAATAAACAGTTATTTTTATTATTCAGATTATTTATTTATCATAGACAAAACGAGAAAAGAAATATGATATAAAACAGCATTTGTTAATCATACAGATAGAGAGAAAGAAGAATGTCCCGTCTTGCAGCTACTATTGTCGATGTAAGGTACTACAAGTCAAATTTGTTAGTTTCGAGTAGTTCGATATCTTCTCTGCAGCTGATAATAGATGGTCAGCTACATGACTTGTCGGCGCTATGGTTTGAATACAGTACTTCTAAAGTATATGACGAATAACATAACCATCAAACCATACTGTCCCATGTCGAACTTTTCTTATAGGATACCACCGACAAATTGTGTTACTTAAAAATACCAACAGTTACCGCGACACTTTTAGAAATCGCTCAATATGCCGTCGATAAACGGATAGTATTCAGTGTATCAGGAAATTTCTTTGTTCTAGTGGTTTCCGTACTAAATAAGAACTACAAATTTGAAAAATTTTCGAACTCTCTCTGAGGAACTTGTTGAATAAACGTTTGATTGTAGTCACTGAGAGAGACTCTTACTGTCGAATATCATCCCTTATCAGTCACGCCAGTGGTCTAAAAATAAATCTTAAAAATCTATCATCCATATTCGTTTTTGATTGTCAGTGTATCTTCAGAGTATTGTCGGTAACGAAGACATCGGTGCAGTGGGCAATTTAGGCTTGTGATGCGGATGGATATCAGAATTTTTTAGCGAATAAACCGTTTTTTAATGAATCATTAATATTCTCTAGCTATCCCAAACCTTATAAACGAAAATAAAACGTTTTCAAAAGAAAAATTAATTTTTTTAAAAATGGCTGTAGAACGAAAAACATTTTATTGGAATATTATTTATTTAAAACTTACTGTTTTATACATCGTTCGATGTACTTTTACACGCTGATTCCATCTATCACCTTCTTTTCCATAGGAATGCTACTGGAGAGAGAAAACTAGATTTTACCTGAAGGTTTTTTTCGAAAATCTGTAGTTCAATCCAGAAAAAGTTGCGTAATTTTGCACATACATCATAGATACAGTGTACGAGGACAGGCATTCTGATATGCTTCTTTAACCGGATTGAAAGCGGGAAAATGAGAAAAACTCACCTCACCAAGGACAACTATATGAAAAATGATTTAATTCGGAAACTAAAGTTTTTCTCGAAGTTTATAGACCCAAAATGATAAAACTCTTTCACTAGTGAATAGCAAAAAAAGTCTTCTTTCCGAATCTATATTGTTTTGATGATAGCTTCATTCATTTTCAAAAACAAAAATTTTTTTATTTCATGCCCTTGTATTATTTCTAAGCTAATTTTTTGACCGAGTGTTTTCTCATGAACGTTGATACTTAGAACCAAAGTTTTTATGTCATTAAACAAAGCATTCTTCGAAGTACATTTTTCGGTATTTAAGTTCAGAAAAACATTCACTTTCAATTTTTCGCCTAATATCTGCATCATTGTATACTGTTGACATTGTGATACTTGTACATTGAATATTATAAAGTAAAATTCTTTGTCGAATATTGTAAAACAATTCCTTAGTTGTATTTTCGATACAAAATTAAAATTAATCATCTCATTTAAATTATTCCTTTTTTGTGGAAAAAAAAATATCAATAACAGCATGGAGAAGATAAAACTGGAACAATCCAACATGATTAAAACAAAAATAAAAATACACCAATGCGATTTGTTTGCACAGATATGCGATATAGAAAAAAATTCAAAAAAAAAAACAAAAAATATAAACGTTAACAGCAAGTCAACAAACTATGTGTGAATATGACGATATCCGAAAAAAAAATACGATAGGCCATTTTTCTAAATGAAAAGTATAGAGTATGCCGCAAAGTTGTGTATGTATAAAGTAGTCTAGAAATACCAATATTAAATAGTAAACACTGTTCATTACCTTAAACTACTGCATTATTCTGATTCGAACAATATCTATCTATCTGGATGAACAATGATAGCAAAAAAAAACTAATTATAATAAATAAGTTTAAAAAAAAATGAAGAATTAAATCTGACAACAGCTCACAAACAAGATAAAGAAAAATTCTCTTATTTTTTTTTTGTTTTTGTTTTCTTTTAAAGAATAAATAAATAAATTGAAAATTTAAACAATTAACAATTTGTTCATTGCACACCATTTAGAATAATCCTATATCTAATGTGTTATATTATTATTTCATTTGACGAAAAATATACCGCGAAAAAATTCATCAATATCCGAATGATTTGTATGATATTTTTGAATGATTTTTGTTATTTTATTTTTTCGTAATGAATGAGCAGTTTGTGAACTAAATAAAATCAAAAAAGCAAATAAATTAGAATATATTAATAAAAAAATTGATTAAATCAATAAATAACCTTTCACTGTCTTCAAGACGTTTTCTTTTACTCAAATTAAGTACGGATTGTCGAATAAAAAATTCTAATAAATTTAATGGTATCACCATTCCATCTATGAGTGGAATACTTGCATTTGCTCTTTAAAAGAAAAAAGAAACATATTAAAAATTTTATTATCAATTATCAATATAGAATACGAAAGATTATACCGTTGAGCATTTGAATTTAATATAATTCGAAATAAATGATTTTTTAATGGATGAATACCAATAATGGATATATCACGTAATTTTGGTTGTTCATTATTCACTAAATTCAAACAATAAAATTAATTTATTCTTTTAAATTTAAATAGATAAAAATATACGGTTAAGAATAGAATCAAGATCTTCACGTAATTCTTCCAACCAAACAATGAATATACGCATTTCAGATGATTTTCCAACATCGTTTGATTCAACTAAAATTATATAGTGAATAAATAAAATTGATATTTTTGTTTTTGTTTTTACGTACGAGTTAACTGTTGTGGAAGATAAAAGGCCATTTCTGTTGTTAAATCAACCCAATACAATATACTATCGTCACCATTCAGATCGTTCAATGTTTTAGAACGAACAACATTAGTTGAAATAGCTAAAATTAAAAACCAACATAAATAAATAAAATAGTAAAGATAGCTGATAGAATTATTTGTGACAATATACCTGTTTGATTCACTGGTTTCCAACTTGTTGTTGGATTTCCCGTCCATCCACAATGTCTTTTAACATCAACAACCGAGCCAAGTTTTGATACAACGGTTAAAAATGATGAATTCAATTTTTCAGGTATACTCTAGAAGAAAAAGAATATTTAATATGTTAAAATAAATTTAGTTTAAAATATGAAATATACCGTATTTGAAAATGAATCAAATATTGTTTTTTGCCCAAATTTTAAATAAAATATTTGCGCTGTACAATAAAGTGTTGGTGATATCATATCCAATTGTTTAAGATCGGTTATAAATGATGGATCATTGGAGTTCAATAATTGTATTCGAGGTTGAAGTCGATCGATTGCTTTTGAATCAGGCTAAAATAGTAAAATTATAATAAATTAATTAAATAATCGCTTCAAATTGTAATAATTTTACCCAATGTTTGCCATTTAACAAATGTTCCATTGAATCAAGTGAACAAAAACCATAATGACATAATAATAATCGAATACTTTCAAAATGATTTTGACATCTAAATAAAAATAAAAAAATAAATTTTGTATAAAAATAAAATGAAAATATATAAGAAGAATATTTGATCTTTACTCTGGTGGTTTACACGTTGATGATTGTGTTTGTGCCATTTGATATGCTCGTTGTACAGCTTGTTCTTCAATTTTAATTTGTTTTGTTTTTAATGTACGAAATAAATTTAATTTTTCTTCATCTCGTTTTAATATAGAATTTAATGATGGTATACTCAATTCACTAAAGAGAAAAAATTTTTTAAAAAAAAAACAAAAGAATTAGATAACGTTTGTGTGTGTTCATATGTTTCAAATATAAACCATATCATTATTACGATGACAATCACCATAAGCATAAGTAAATACATCAGTTATTTTAGAATAGAAGTAAACAAAGTACACAGAAAACGAAAAATGTTTCCTATGTCTTCTCTATTTTTTAATAACACCGTTCTAAGATTACACGCGTTACTCAACAAAACATTTTAGCGTTATGTACTGACTTACAGAATCATATGTTTAGGAGGTAGACGATAGTGGTTTACTCTTTCTAAAAATTTTCGATAAGATCATCTCACTTTTTTTAAAAAAGAAAAAAAAAGAAGAGACAATCAAGAAGATGAGAATGCCTAGAAAAAGATACTCCGAGATTTATTTCAATAATACACTTTGAACGAAGAAGAAGAAGAAAGCTGAAGAACGTGAGCGTATGTGTGTATGTGTGTGTGTATATGTGTATTACTGTTAGTATGTTACAAAACAAAAAGCTTCGTTGCCACTATAAAAACACAGATACAAACAGCAAAACAGAGGAAAAAAAAAACAAAAGATTGTAAAGAGAGTCTATTGTATGAGAATTACTTACGGTGGATGATGAATACTGAAAGGGAAACAGAAGGATTGTTGTATAAATCATCTGTATTGATAGTAGAAGAGTTTAACTAACATTACTAAAGAAAATATGTATCTAAAGTTTATTTCTTTACTCAAATTTTAAAATAAAACAATCTATAACTGTGTTTAACTATATGAATAAGAAAAAAAAATCTTCAAAAATACTACACTGAGATTCATTTTTACGAAATTGTTCATAAGAAAAAAAATCGTATGAAACGCAGTGGTCTAAATAGAAAGCTGTGCGCATTTTTAATGTGAAACAGTACTCTAGATATATGTGAAATAATTCGCTCATTTCACCTACTTGATTTCGTGATGAAATTCACTAAAAAATAGTTTACGATATCATATTTCATTCTTTTTTTTTTGTATTCCATTAACGTTTGATACGATAAAAATTTAACTAATTCAAGTTTCAAGTCAATAGGAGAAGAAACGAACCTTTTTGCTTTTTCATTTTTTCCAATATTTCCATGTGAATGATACTGTATCATCTTTTCTTGTCGTTCATTTACAGTTGTTCGCATTTGTTGTGTGTCATTCGTTGTTGTAACAGGAATATTGTTCTGTGTTTTATTATTTTTATTTGATGTTTTATCAATAGACTGAAACAGATAAAGTAAAGCTAGTTTAAACCATTAGTTTTCTTAATTTTGTGTCGTCACATTTGGTTAATTAAATCAATTGAAATAACTCGCCTCTAGACTAATCAACCGTCCTCAACTCGATCAGCTTTTGATCATAGTGTATTCATATATAAAAAACAGAACACGATGATTATCCATGATCGATTATTCACTATTTGGACACAATGAAGGATGTGATTTTAGAATTTTGGTTTATTATCCGAGAATTTGGATAAATAAAAAAGACTTTAATTTTTCATATAAACGATGTTGAAGAAAATCGTATTACTATAACAAAGAAGAAATATCATTGTCAAATCTTACTTTCTTTCTTTTTGTCATCGATAGTGGTCGATGACGAAAATTCAATGTCCAAACATTTTTTCCAAATAAACCACGACATAGAAGAATTATAGCTGGCATTCCTAAAAATAAATGACAACATTTGTTTAATACTGATTAATTTATTAATAAATATACAAACCATTATTAACATTTGATGGTAGTTCGTTCATGGCAAACACTGTATTACCATTTACAGCAAAATATTTGAATGCTGAAGATAATGATGAACTATTGGATGTTTGTTGTGCTGTTATCGATATCTCATCTACCCAACTTCGACAAATATCATTTTTTAAATGTAAAACTGCCTTAAAAAAGAAATAATAAAAATATTATACAGTTAACCATTAGTCTCTTCAATTTATGATAATGATATGGAAAAGCAATACGTTGATAAATATTAGCATTTTGAATTTTGATACCTCAAATGATACTAGTAGATATGAATGCATGCATCAATCTATTTAACGTCAGTCTGTTCGAATGACAGATAATTAATTAAAAAAATTTTTTTGCTTAATATGCATAGTCTAATTATACATTGGAGTTAAGATTCAAATTTTTAATATAAGCTAAACTTTGTAGTTTAGAATTTACTATGCGTTTGAATTATTGCTTATGACAATACAAAAGAAGATTTATAAAAAAAAAACATACTTATTCTGTACATATGAAATATTAATCAACAATGTCTTCAAAACGTCAACTCAGAGATGTACTTTTTATCATTATACATGGAACAATAGAACAAATCTTTTCAAACTAAATTTTAGACAATTATTAAATTAAAAGAGCTAATATATTTTTGTTTTTTGCTCTTTTTCTGGTATTAAAAATTTGTTTACACTGATTACATGACATTTTAATGAAAGATTGATTGTTCCCACGTATACTGAAAGAAAATAAGTTTCAAAGTTGAAGTTCTAAACACAAATCTCGCTTATATCTAACATGTTTCAAAGTGCATAAAGTATTTGAATCACAATCCAATTATCATTTTAAAATTCAACGTTTACATATTCATGTGAGATTTTTTTTGTACAATCGATTTCTATGTTATGTGAGAAAAATTGTTTACGAAAGCTCATAATCAAACAGAAGAAAAAAAAAATGAAATGTTAAAAACAATTTTAAAAAAATGATTCAAAATTTGTGACTAATGTATTTTTATATTGAAAAGCAGCAATAGAATTTTTTGTCTTTAGCATAATTAAAATGAAAATATTTTGATTATACACATGATTTTAAATTTAGCAGCTATGAATGAATGAATGAAATTTGATTTTAGCTATCCGAGCTATAAAAATGCAAAAAAGACACCTCTTCATCTAAATTGCCTCCAGCTGCTGCTATATGAAAACATGCTGCAGCTAAAGTACGTTGTTTGATATTTGTAATATGACCAATATCTTGTGTCTAAGAGATTAATAATAATTGAACATGTTTTTGTTATATATCATTTGTTTTTTGCTTTTTTTTGTTTTCTTTACTATTTACCTTATGTTCAAATAAAATACATAATAAATATTCAGCTGATTCGCCGACACGTTGCGATGCTGGATGAAGTTCTTTATCTTTTTTAAATACTGTTCTATCATGTGACTATAAATAATAATAACAGCAAAAATTAAATATTATTCTTCTATTAAAATATATTATTTTACCTGTGCTTTTTCTCCTGATATTCCTAATTCAATTACTTCACATAATTTATATAAATTTTCATAATCATCTAGTAGTGATGGTTTTTCAATAATTAATGTTACCAATGTATTATAAGTAGCCACTATAGTTGAATGCATTTCACGTGTATGATCTTTAGGACTACGATGTAATTGACCATCAATAAATATACATAAACGTTTTAATACAGTTTTCCATATATCAATAGCTTAAATAAACAATATCAAGATATTTTTCTTAGTTCAATAAAATAATAATAAAAACAAAAATACATACATAGTTGACATATGGGATCGGTAGCAATTGATGTGAGTGTATCTAATGCAGCTAAAAATAATTGTGGATCATTTGTGCCTTTATCACATATTTTTATTACAGAGTGACCCAAATAAGCGGTTGCTGTATCAGTTCTCATTGGATCATTCTGAATCTGTTGATCTATCTGTTGTTGTTCCCAATTAGAATAGAGTGAACAAGCCAAACGAACTGTACCTAAAAATCAAGATAACATACTAACATAACATATTTATTTTCTTTAACAATTAAAGACTTAAATTACCAAATAATAATTGTGCATTTGTTGTATCATATTCAGCGTCTAATGCTGTAAATATTAATGTAAATATTTTTGTTCTATATTCCCAGAATGTTGCTGTCATTGTCGATGTCTGTACTTGTTGTTGTTGTTGTTGTTGTTGTTGTTGTTGTTGTTGTTGTTGCTGTTGATGAATTGATAAATAATCATAAAATGATTTCACTGGTAAATGTTGATAATGAAATGGTAAACTAACAATTGACATTAGAATATGAATACATTTTTTTCGTATTTTAATTAAACGATCATCCCGAAATTGTTTATTAACAGCTTTTGTATTATTCGTATTATAATATTCAGGATGTAAAAAATAGGTTAATGCATCAAGATAACATGGTAACAATATATTAACACCACGTAAATTCATACGAAATAAATCACCACTATTCAATAGGATACTTTCAATGACAGATGGTGAACGTAACTAAACAAACACAGAGACAATTAACAATAATAACAAATAGAATTGAAAATATAACAAAAAACATCAATATTCTTACTTCATCTACTTGATAATTTATAAGACCTTGATTTAATACAAAATAAAATCGACTTAAATATTCTGGATGAATAAATTCATTACTATGAGCGGATGTAAATATCGTACAAATAGTTGCAAATGATTTAGCAAATCCTTCATCCATTAAACGTTCATTCTAAATGATAATAGTAAATAAATTTAATATCTTTTTTAACAATTAAATATACACATACTTGTTGAATCTCCAAAAGTTTTTCATTTTCATTTCGATCACCAGATTTTGTAGTAGCTAAATAAACAAACAAAAAAAAAACGAAAATTATTAATTTTAAGTATCAACAAAAAAAACAAAAAACTGTATTTCTTTTTTAAATAATAAAGTCGATCATTATTTTCCCTAAATTATGCACTCGTATAAAAAATAACAATAACAACAATCCTAGTGGGATCATTAATAACTAACTATATTTAATCGATGATATACCATCATACAAATGCTATGGAGTTGAATTGAAGAATATAGGAAATAGTTCGATTCATTTTGTCTCTAGTATTTTAACTCTGTGAATAATGAACAATATTTGTCCGTATCTGAAACTTTGTCAGTCTAATTCGTCTCAGTTTCATGGCCATCATAGTACATGTCAATTAAACGTTAAAAGGATATCATCAATTAATTGTTTTTATGTCCACCCACTAAGTTCTCTGTTTTGCTTAGTGTTTATAAAGTATCCAAAAAAAAAAAAACGGCGATGAGTTATCAACTAATAAAGAATAATAAGAAAAAAGTGCTCAAACAATAGACTAGTGATAATTGAGTTTCGCTTCTATTTTTGTTTTTTGTTTTAACTGTTAAATCTTCATTGTAATAATATAACAACAGAGAGAAAGAGAATATTACAGTATAAATTTAATGAGTTAATGACACTAATTATTCATACTTAGATTAAATAAAAAATCTTTGACAATTGCCATTAATTTCTAGAACAAATTTTTTGTTATCTTATTCTATACTCGTTGAGGTAATATTAGAGAATATTACTAATCATTTGTTCTTTTTTTGCTTTTTTCGTTTGAAAGAGGACAAAAAATTGTACATCTGTGCATCGAGCCGTAAATCAATGGACAAGAAAAAAGAAAAACAAATGAAAACAAGAGAGAAAAAAGAGAAAGAGAGAAGCAAAAAAAAAATGTAATAAATGAACCTTTTAGTATGTGTGTATTTGTGTGTAAGGGTGTGTATAAATATTCATCTTTCAAAGAA